TAGATGGCCTTTTACACATTGCCCTTTTTATAAGTTTTGATGGTTCCTTATGTAGCCCGGAATCATTTTTCTCAAGGGGCTGAATGCCAATTGCAAATTTGATGCCCACTCCAAATACACAGTTATGATTTGGGTGTGGGTGACTTCGGGACATCATTGCTCTTGAAACATTTTATCTATTTATTTACCTATAATGATTCTGTTTATTTTGCACCAAATAATCACCTTCTGATATCAGATCAACATTTGAATAATATCATAAGCCACAGTTTAAATAGAAGTCAAATAAAGATGTAAGTAATACCCCCAATTTTAGTTCACAGAAGCAATAAATTTCCATGGAAAACTGAGGACAGGACCCATTTGTTAAGTCTTCACATATGTATAGATGTTTTTTTTATATAGAGTACTCCGATAGAATTTGGAAGATATTTGTTTTGTTTTATTGAACTTTTTCCAAAGTATGAAACTTTTTTATCTAGACGTTTTCTTTTTTCTTTTTTTTTTTTTAAAAAAAGCCTTTATTTTTGGAGAAATTTTCTGACTCTTGTAAACTTCACCTTCTCCCAGAAACAAACATCTTCAAAGAAAAAAATCTGTTTTTACTTTGAATATAAGGTCTGTTTTCTGTTCTCTCTGCTTTATGACAGAAATTCTCTCTCTATTTCATAAATCTGAAAGCTAGTCTCTGAAATTCCTTTAAACATTTTCCTTTAGTATAAGAAGTCCCCGGACCTTGTAGAAGAGTAACTAAACAGCAAATAAATGACACAACAGGAAAAAAAGCCCCCTCCTTTTTTTTTTTTTTTTTCCCCCAGGGTTTATTTTTCTCCCCTTTTGGTTTACAAAGAGTTTTCAAAACAAAAACAAAAAATATTTTTGACCTTGCCAGAAGATCTACTGGTGTGTTGAATTCTCTGTATAATCAGCATTGACTCAAGAAAGAACCAAGAAGAATTTAATCTTCTCTCCTACATCGTTAGCTGTAGCTCCACTGAAGAACTCTAAGAGAGTGAAATCTGAGATCATCCCCAAGTGATATCTCCCTCTTAACTAGACATGGTCAAAGATGAAGACACATCCTCAATCATCCTCATGAATGAGAACTGAACCCCTTTTAACCTTTTAGAATACCTTTTTTTTTTTTTCTAGTGTGCCTTGTTCTTTTTAAAAATAAAAAATGTCCCAAGATTGCTTTATTTTGAGTTTATGGGAAACGCAGTAGAAGATTGTCTTAATAAAAATAATTACCAAGTGCCTGGACACATAAATACGAGAAATCACAATTGCTTTGTCTCATTATATTTGAACAGGAAATCCACATAAAAAAAAAAAAAAAAAAAAAAAAAAAAAACAAGAAAAGACATAATTTTACAATTGACCAATGGATAATCAAACTCAACTCTGTATCAACATTTTAAGCCTGTGCTTTTCACCATTTTTACTACCTTGCTTGCAAGCCATCAGATAATTTAAGGTAATAAAGATTTTGAATAGATAAAATTCTTATTTTTAATCACAGTAGAAATAATTAAAAACTATAGGAAAAATGACATTTGGATCGAATTCTGAACTCTGTCTTACAAATCCTAATGGCTATGTGACAGTTTATTTATTTATTTAGGTAATCTAAAGCTCATCAGGTTTTCCAAACCAACAGTGAAGTTTTGCTCAAGTGATGAGTAAAGCTTATCATATGTTCTTTTTGGTAGTGAGTTGCCCATTCATTTTGATAGGCAACTAATCCTGCTGTCAGCAAGCAGCAGACCTCCCCTGTGGAGCAAGAGGATGTTAAGCTTTTAACACACCTTGGAGGGAAGCTGTGACAATAGTCAAGGTGACAGTGGCTGCTGAAAGCTACTGTGTTTCTGAGATCTCTCTCTGCAGGAAATAGCATGGTCTGTGAGATCAGTAAAGAGCTAACAAAATAATTATTTTCATCAATATGTGGCAGTCCAAATTATTTCCTTTGAATGTTATTATCAAAAAAGGCTGCTGGTAACTAAAATGTGACTAGACAAAGAGAAGCTGTAACTATTCATTACATGCAAACTCCATCCTGGGTATGCACTCCTTTTTTAATATCTCTCCACTGTGCTTTTTTGCTGTTGTTGTTGTATAAACTTAAATTTATATTTAGCTGCTGTAATTTCCATCTAGCTTATATGCAAAGGGTTATTCTCCATATCAGTTATGGATAGACCCAAAAAGGCACGAAGATCATGTTTTCTGGGTTTGAATAATCTAAGAAAAGGACCCACTCAATTTCATACCTGCATTGAAAACAGACGTTTTCTGCTCAGTTGAGAAATGCTTTGTCATAATTTTGAGAATTCAACTTCTTACCTGGCTTCTTTTTTGAAGATTCAGAACATTTCTTATTGCTGCACACTATCTGCCTTGTGTCAAAATTCTCTCATTTGATGGCCAGTACAACTCATCTTTTCTTCAAAAAATATTTCTAGGAAGCTTATATTTCTGTTTTACTTCTTCGTGCCTCATTCACATGGCATATCCTGCATAAAGAGCATCCCATGACAAGACTTGGCATTCCCAGCAAATGAGCACATCTTCTTGAACAACTGTCAGCTCTGCTGTAATCCCTTTCTTTCACCTATGCCTAGTTAATTCTTACCTGGAGAATGAAACATCTGGATTTCTGGAAAGCCAGCAAAAACTACTACCAATAAAAAAAAAAAAAAATATCCAGGAGGTAAATGTCAATATATCACTGAATTCCGGTCAGCATACTCCTTCTGTTTCCACAAGTCTTAAGAGATTCCCCTCCTCATCCTTTCTTTTTTTTTTAAAAAAAATACGTATATATATACACATATACACTGATCCAGTGCAGAGCTGACATCAGACTGTGAATAAAATGTCTGTCTTGATAAAAAGTGTAGAAGACATGAAAACGCCATCTTACATTTCAGAGATTCCCTCATCCAAATCTAACATAAGGTTTTGCAAGGAGAAAACACAGTGTTTCCTAGCACAAACTGAAGTGCTTTAATTAAGAGTACTACAAAGAAAGCTGGAGTTTTGCCATCTTGTTTTTGTCATTTTCTTTAAAAAAAAATTACACAAGAAATTTTACTAAAAATACAGTGGTACCAAAAAACTACATGCTGTATAATTGTAATTTTCATATTTTCTGTGATGACAAGAAAATATTATCCAATCCATCTACTTTATAGAGTGTATTCTATATAAATTGAATTGTAATAAATTGGAGGTAAAATGATAATTTGATGATCATTTCCAGTCAGATAAAGAAGCTAAATAATTTATACAGCAGCAGATAGCGAGATAAACTCCTCAAAAGACTGAGGAGTAACTCTAAATAAAATCTAGCTACTGGTAGTGATGTTAGCCTGCAAGACTGGTGTATTTTATGAGCAAAATACTTCTGTAGAGGAAATATTACTTTCTAATTGTGTCAAGATGGGCAGTTTTTCTGTGTTACATAAAACCCATTCTTTTCAGGTCTCAAAGACATTTTTTTATTTGTTTGTTTTGCTTTGGTTGGTTGGTTTGTTTGTTTGTTTTAACAAGTTGATTTGATCCTGACTTGCAGATATATATACAGAAAAAAAAAAGTGATTCTGCGTTAGTCTTCTAAACATTTCATACAAAACTCACATATACAACAATTAGTATTCCTTTCCTTGTAGCCTATGTTCTGCACAGCAGTTGCCGTTTGACCTGGCAATGTTATTTTTATTATATAAGATATGTTGAGGAAGAACATATCCTCATCTAGCATCTTTTGTATTCTGGTCTTGCGAATCTCAGTGTCTGAGTAAGATCTACAGATGCAGTTTATTTTTTATTCCTTTGCAGAAAAATTATGTTAAGAATACATGACAGATGTGCGAACAAGAAGCTCTCATTTTCCACCTAAGAACTGTTACTAATTTTTCTTTCACTAGATGAGGAAGAAGAAAGTGGAACACGCCACTTTTATGAGGAAGTCAATATTTTCTATTTAGAGCGGGGAATTTCAGAAGGAAAAAAGAAATCTGTTGACTGAAGACATATTTATTCCTTAAGCTACCAATTTTGTAATGGAAAAATCTAAAACTGCCTTAGGAAGTATTTTTTCAATGTTTTCATTAACAGCATGCTTAAGTATAACAAAATCTAAAGTTTTTTGGTTTAATATTTAAGACTTCCCATAGTAGTGGATTTTTGTGTCTCTATGTGTGTGCATTTTTTTTTTTTGGGGGGGGGGGGGTGAAAATTTAATACTGGCGTAGCCCTAAGAACTATTATCAGCCCATAAGTGCAAGCAATCTGTAATGACTACAGAAGTGTTACTTTAATCTACAGTTCTTAAACATTCCCCAGAGAACCTTCATTTATTTCTAATCAGTATTTAAATTACTGGTAAAAATTCCTAAATTGACTTAACATAAAACTTAACTGCTAAAAAAAAAATGTGTTTTTATACATAAGATCATAAGATTTTTAGTGAATTTTCCTTTTTTTCTTCCTTTTTCTTCCTTAACTGAAGATCATCTTATTACCTCTTTTTAATCGATTAAGGAATAGAAAGTCTGGTTATTAGACAAAAGATTAACTTTATTAGATAGTTGCAAAAAAAAATATTTCAAAAGGCTATCAAAATACATAAGAAAGGATAAAATCTGTATCTCAGACTTTTTTTTTCAGCGTGAATATCTTATGATTCTTGAAATGAAATTATTTGGAAAAATAAGGCTGGATAAAAAAAAAAAAGAAGGATGACAGTGGAAACTCTCTTCTTTTACTGAGTTTTGTGACTACTTTAAATTGACCACTTGTTTCCCCGACTAATCTCTAAACATGGGGCAAGTCCCTTTCACTTGCAAAATACTCTTACACAAGATGAATTACCTTCTTACCACCTTGGTTACTTGTCAGGGAGTACTTTATTTTTCCACAAGGAAAAAGAAAATCAGCTTGTATTTTTCTTGCTAAAGCCTTCTGCATTTTAATTCTGAACTCTCAATGAATCAGAGGGGCCTTATGATGTTTTACACAAAAGTGCCTGTGTTCATAGTTTTACTCGGGGCACCCAAAATAGCGTGCAGTGAGCACTGTCACACTGTGAGTTTTCAAAACTAAAAGTAGAAGTGACTTACTCTGGCAGGAAGCTGTAACTCTTAAAGCTTTCTAAGGATCTGTGAAGTAAAGTACTGCTTACTTCTCTTCATCAGATGTTTAACCTGAATTTTAAGCTACACATTTCTTTAAGCCTTGAAGACCCTGGAGTCACACAGGTATGATCTTGCTCTTTTTTATTTCATTATCTTCAAAAATAAAAATTAAAGTGTTGAGCTGTGTGTCTCTAGACTAAAAGCCAAGAAAGATAAAGACAAAACTAGAAGCCATGCAAAACCTCTAGAGGGAGAAAACTACTTTTGTTGTTCCCTCAGAAGCTAACTTCTACAGCTGTGGATATCTAACTTTCTAAGTTGAATTTACTAGACAAAATGATTACTAGTCCTGTTTATTTGTACACGTTGTACATTAAAATTTTCATGATCAGTTATCACTATCAATTTGTTTCTGCAAGATCCCCAGGCATGACAGATTGTGAAGGAAGAATTTACACTCATCTAAATGGCTGTTATAAAAATGTTCTGTTTCTGAACAGAAACACCTCTGTCTTACACAAACACTTAGAAATGCCCCCTGACTTGCTATTCTGTCTGATACTGCAGCAATAAGAATTTATTTATTTAATTAATTAATTAATAAATCTTAGCTCCCCTTTTCTGTTCCTGTTTCCCTTTAATATCCCACATCTGGTAACTGGAACAACTTTTGCAATACAAAACAAAACAAAACAAAAGCAGCTTTGGTTTTATTGGATAATGAATGTAAAATGGCAAGTAGTTAATGAGCAGGACGTTCAAATATTAGCGCAGTACACTATCAATAATTTTTTTGAATGTTTCTTCTCTAAGTTTGCTACTATGGGGTACAACTGCAAATTATTTTTTATGTTCAGACAATCTGCCTAGACTATTTTCAAAACTAAAACACTAGAATATAGTTGTGGATGTGTAAAAACTGTTAGCTGGCCATTAAAATGCAAAATGTTCATCGGTTTATGCAGTTTTACAAGTATGTGGTGGTATGAAACCGGTAGGAATAATATAGCTTTTGATAATTATTTTATAATAACTAGTAATTTAAATTCAATTGTGGTCACAAATGCATTCTAGATAAACTCTGTGATTTGTCCTTGGGTGAATATATACGTATATTTATATTTATACATTCTGTGAACTTAATTGTAAGAGTTATCTTGATTAATTTAAATGATCATCAGTCCTCTGCAGCAAGTGTTGGACCAAGTATTTAAATAAAATGGGCTGTGTCTGGAGTTCAGATTTTTTCACAGACTAAAAAATGTATAACTACTGGCAGACAATGAAAATCCCTTCTTGGAATCATTTGTAAGAAAAAGAAGAGAATAAAGATGAGCGTGTCCTCAAAATATTCTGCGAAAAGCAACTTAAACTTGAAGAAAGAAATTACAAATCTACGGAAAGCAACATGCTTTTAAAACCAAAATTATTGTGTCCCAATATTAGGCATTTTTTGAAGTTCTAACACAAATTTTATGTTCCAACTTGCTTAAATGTAAAATATTTCACTATAAACACAAAATATTTTATCTCTGTTTTGGAAATGGTTGAAAATTACTAATCAGATAAGGATATATTATCCAATGTCAGCACATCTTGTTATCAAAATAGTAAAACCATGATGATAATCCATGGTTTAGGCTCCTCATTACTTTTTATTGTAGCCCCCTGGTTTTGTTGGGTCAGTATAGCACTTTGGGCTAAAATTTAAATTTTGTAGCCTTTGTTAACTAAATATTTGTGGAAATTTCTTATTTAATCAGGAGATTCAGCTTTTTTAAAAAATAGGTTTAATTGAGAATTCGTAGTTTTGTCAACAGCTCTAATAATAGGCCATCCAAAATTACAGCATTAATTCTGTTGCAGCTGAAAATCATCAGTCTTACTTTTCAGTCACCATAAGTTTTGATTTCTACTACTTTTTTTAAAAAAGAACAGGTACCACAACTCTCTCTGCATTTTCTCAAGAATTCCACTATGTTCCTAAGTGTTCTCATGCCTATAGAAAGCTAAAAAGAAGAAAGACATAAGGAAATGTATCTCTTCTCCGTCTCTTCAATCTATCTATCCCACAATACATGTTTCTGAAGGTGAATTATTTTAGAGATCGAAGACTATGGATTGTAGTCAACTGCACTGACTACATTAACCTTCATTGCTGTGGAAGTAGTTATGCCAGGTCCGGTAAGGCAGGCTATGCACATATGTATATATGCTCTATAAGGGAAGCTAATGAGAACTGGGCAATGTGAACAAAACCATGTGGGGCAGAAACAGGAACATAAGTATGCTTTGGATTCACAGACCAGCTCTCCTCTTTGCATTAAAATGACCTGTAGTATAAGAGGAATTACTATGCTAACAGACTGCAGTTGGTTGTTAACAGTGTTTGCAAAAGGCATTGCTCCTAGGCTTTTCATCATGAGCATAGAAATAGCAGAGACCTTATGTATGGAAGGTGATGTTAACTGAGGCGCTCTCACTCACAGGCCACTGGTCTAATCATTATGTCATTCTCTTTTTGAGACAATAGCATAAAAATTATTCAGGTAAACAGCCTAAAGATACTTATTGAAGAAAAGTAAAACATCAGTAAAATGTAAAAGTATGTGCAAATATAATACTGCAACTGAAAATATGACAGTAAAATTGCAATGATTTTCCTCATTGTAGAATCTTGTAAGGTATCTATATTCTAATGCAATGTTAATTATTTGAAGATGCTCTTTTTGCATTGGCACTATAGGCATTTTCCATTTTCACTTATGTGTGACAGGTGCTGTAACTTATTAGCATCAGAAAAAGTGTAATATGATATGTGTTTTCCTCTTTTTTCATTTTAAGGTTTTCCTTTTTTACATGGTGTTATGTCATATCAAAAGCCAAAACGTGTTCTGCAACAGTAAATTATAGAATAGAAATAAAACAATAATTGAATTCTGTATGACTGAGTACTGACTTAATGAATTTATTTTGATGTAGATCAAGCTGGGATAAAATATCTCTGCAAAATCAACTCATTTCCTGTATTTTGCACATATTTAAGAAGACAGTCAGTGATAAATAACAAGATTTTGAAATAGAATGTTAAGGTTCTTGAAGTTTCATTCTTCTTGGCAATTTTGTGTTTAACACTCCATTTTTGCAATTACATTAAAGATGAATACCAATTTTAAATGTCCTGCCCTAATTCACAGGCAGTATAAAGAACATTTGTGTTTACTCATTGTCAGTACTTTTATGGTGTAGCCAATTGCTGCATTCTCTTTCACTAAAAGGTGTTAAAAAGGATAATGCTTGGCAAATGGAAAACGGACTACAGTTAGTCTCTTTTCTTTATTGTATACACAGTGCTTTCCTTGTAGAGAAACTTTTTTCAGAATGGTAAATAGAACACATAGAATAATTGATGATAGGAACAATTTACATTGCAACATTTTAATTTTTTAATGTCCCAGAGTTCATAAGTCTAAGTAGGATATCCTCATATATAAAAGTCATCTTGCAGAACTGTTTAAGAAAAAAGGGGGATAAAAGGTCCTACACAGGAAATTTCTTTTACTTGTTGTCTCTTTAATTATTTGCTTATTGTGTCTTTAGTTATTTGAAATTAAGCCAAATAGCAATTTCAAAAATTATCAGAAAGTAAGAAGAGAATATATATCATATATTACTTTCTAAAAAGAATATTGTTCACTGGATGTAGTCACAAGTGACCAGAACCCACTTCCTGGGAGTTTTACATGTGCTGCCTCAGCTTGCATGAGAAAGACAGAAACATGAGAGATGTGAATCCTTGTTAAATCATTTATGTCTGATTTCTGGGTGACTGAAAGCACTCTGAATGTTTCCATAAGTCAGCCAAAAAACAGCATAAATAAAACAGAGAAAATCATGGCTTAGCATCATGTTACAATTCGGGATATATTTTGGGAAAATCTATTGTTAAGTCATATAGACATGCTCTGTGCATAGGATCATGCTCTGTTACATGTTGTCATGAGATCTATCAATGTGAAAACTGCTACAGAAGATTTCTAGTGTCTTTACTCGTGCGTATGTTCTTGTGAGAAAATGGACACAGACTAGAAGTAGTCGTAACTATTTTTAAGTACTATTCATGGCATTGTAGATGATATGAAATGGAAAATTATCTCTATTCAGTGCATTTTTTTCTATTTCCTTCCTTCAAATAACAAACATAAAAAGAGGCCATGTGGCCCAAGTGTTCATCATAATTGTAGCAGCATTTACTCAGGCCTGCAAGAAGATTACAGCAGAGTAACTTCATAATTAAGTCAGAATTTAATTCATTTAGAAGGAGGTATAAAAAGGAAAAAGTACAGGATTCCAATTAAATTTAATGGGGTTTGCCCAACTCCTTTTAAAAAATCATTTTTATATATGTTTATATAAAGCTAATTTGAGTCCCTTCTCATTGAGATTGCTAGACAATGACCCAATGTTAACAGAGTTCCCTTTAAAGAATGTCATGACAAAATAAGGTTTTTTACCCACAAAATTACAAAATGAGACAGTTCCCTTTTAAATGTTGAAAGACAAAGTTTTCTGTAATTTTTCATTATATTTGATAGCTTCAGTCATAGAATGTCTACTAGATTTGTGAAAATCAGTGTCTTTTCCCACATTATTAGAAAAAAATGGAAATAGCTAGAATGTCCTCATGTAATCCTAATTTTCCTAAGGGAGATAGGAAACAGTGTCAGTTAAAGCCCTCCACATTTTTACTGCTTTTACCCTATTCTTCTTGGCAATTTTGTGTTTAACACTCCATTTTTGCAATTACATTAAAGATGAATACCAATTTTAAATGTCCTGCCCTAATTCACAGGCAGTATAAAGAACATTTGTGTTTACTCATTGTCAGTACTTTTATGGTGTAGCCAATTGCTGCATTCTCTTTCGCTAAAAGGTGTAACCCAAATGTTATTGTTTCCATTTTCTCACTTCTTTTAAAAGAAAAGGTGCTGTTAAAGGCACAGTTACAGGAATCAAATTCTGGAACATGGGTTTAAGGTAAAACACCTAGGTCTCAGATAAGAGGTACCAAGCAGTTTTGGTACCTCAGTAAGTGAGATGTGACTATAGACAAATCCACAACC